TGAACCAACAAAAGTTTCAGAAATCCCAACTGGTGTGAAAAGTCACACCCTTAAAGGATGGTATGAGCTGCTAAGGGGAGGATGGGTCAAATGCTGAAGTGCTTGAATATGCTGATCTGAAAAACCTTTGTAAATCTAGGCCTGATTGTTTAGATGGATGAATCAAAATGCCATACCTTGCATTCAGTGTTCAGTAGAAAGAAAGTGGCCATTTCTAAGTGTGGAAAATAAGAAAACTTATTCTCAGTTCCTGGAAAACTGGATGTTTTGCAGCATCATCATTTTGTGTTAGAACCAGGTTGAAAGAAAAAAAGAAACTAAACCAAAGCAATTTGTTGCCTCTTAAGAGAGAATGTCAAAATTATTTGTGTGCATCTCTGTTAAAAATAATATTTCAACTTTTCTGTCTTATTTTCTCCTATTTTGACTAGAAGTGGAAGTGAATTAAACCAAATGCTGAAGTAGAAGAATATTGGGTCACTGTTTTTCATCTGCATGTAAGGTTTTATGTAGCATTACTTAGGATTAGGGGTGATGAACCATTTGTCCTGGACCATTTGTGGACCTTCCAGGAGTTCAGAGCACGTGCACTTGAGAGCCTCTTCTTTAGCCAGAATGGCACAACTCATGTAACTATCATGGTATCTCCCAAAGTATAACACCACTTGGCTTTGCTGCCTGTGGACATTGCTTTAAATTTTGTCTTCTCTGGACTCCTAAACACTGTGTGTGGGCATCCTGGAGTTAGATTAGTGGTTTGCAAGACTACCCTTCCTCATGACTAGTGCATCTTTCTGTAGGGTTTTGATTGGATATTCTTCATCCTGGGACTCTTAAGAGAATTGGTTTGGGCTGAAAAATGTGAAGGTTGTATTTGTTTGTTCTGGTTTGGTTTTGACTTTTTTGTCCTCAATTAACTGAATGAAGCTGTGACTTTAGTATTACAACCTGGGTGTTCATATGCAAATTGGAATAGTCCTGTACTCTCCAGCTGCTAGTTTATGCTCACTAGCTTAACTAAAGTCTAGACTATAACCTCTTCCTGCAACTTCTTTTCATCCAGTGGTTGTTACTCATGCTAGTTATTCACTGGGTTGCCCTTAATTCAGCCCACCTGCCTCACTAGTACCTTCATTTTCTTCTTCTTGAAACATGTCATCTGATCACCGAGACTTTTTCTCTCTGCTGCTTTAATCATGGTGTTGCAACATCCTCAGTTGATGGCAAATTCCATCTTTATCCTTACCTTATTCACATCTTTGCTACTTACACAGGGCTTGATTATCTGTTTATATAGTGCTGCAGATGTTATTTAATAGGCTTCTTGCTTCAGTCACATCACTCCCAAATTTTACACTGCATGAGGCATTTTGCGTTTAGAATAAATTGTAGCTCCTTGCATCTGTAGTCCCCTGGTGACATGCTGTGTTATCACACTTCCTTGTGCTCTTACGTGTGTTGCCCTCTGGTTAGGGCAGGTGAGTGTCGTATGGCACTGTAAGTGTACTGCTATTACAGTTAACAGTGAAAGTGGTAACCACTGGTTTTGGCTGCACTAGTTTTGGAAAAGAAATCTGGAGGAGGGGTTTCTATATTTGTTTTGGAGTGATTGGGTGCAGTGAATACCAAGAAAATAACCTCTTTTTGTTTTGCGTTTGCATACGAGTACTTGCTGTCTTGAGACTGCGTAGCTCTGAATTCAGCTAGAAAAGCCAGCAGCTAGTGTGCTGGCATTCTTCCTATTTCATCTTCTGCAAGAGAAAACATAGCTGTAGACATCCAGCTTTCTATGTGTGGAATATTAAGACGTGATTGTAAAACTGCTGCACCGAAGGGTTCTGATTTGGTTTTGAGTTTGCTAAGTCATGTGAGAAATGGATGGATGCAAGCTTCTGAACACACTCATTTGGGTTCTTAACTAAATAACTCATAAAATCACCACAGAAAAGCTGTTATGGGCAGGAAAATTGTTCCCAACCTGCAAGTTTGTCTTGGAGAGAAAGACTCTTTTGCCAGCTTCCCACTTTTGACTGATAGTGCTTCTGATTCTCTGTGCTTTCATGTCAGTACAGGTTGACCTGATCTTTGTTAATGGCAAGAATATTCTTAGAGAGCATAGCATAAATTATGAAAGCTCTGTTTGAAGAGAAAACTTTAAATGAATCAATTAATTTCAAAAAAATTCCTTTTTTTTTTCCTCTGGGTTATTTATCTTTCATGCATAAGCAAATACTGTAGGCTCTTAATCCATCTGGAAGAAAGGCTAAAATCAGTAGAAGTGCTGAATTAGGATTTCAGGCAAAGCATGTCTGCTGACATGATATGGTACTTCAGTTACAACGGAGACAAAGCATAGTTTGCAAACTGCAGAACAAACAGCATTTGTTAAACCTTATGTTGGCCATAGATTAACAATTAGTGTTGCCAAAGCATGAATATCACAGTCTGAGTAAATGCCTAAGGGTGTAGAGTGGACAAGAAGCAGTCAGTAGAGAGACATAGATACCAAAGTCAAAGACAAGAATAAAGGACTGTGAAGCTCAGGAAGAAGATTCCGTAGGAATCCAGAATACAAGGAAGCAACTGAGAAGAAAATAGCAGATAGATAATGGCAGCTAGCTCAGCTAGCTTGGGTTGTAGCAAGGACTGGAGAGAAGAAAGATTGGACAGGCTACCAAAGATGGGTGTTGTTTTAAAACATGTTTAATTTACCTTTTTACTGTGCTAGGTGGTTAAATTAAAAGTTAGTAAGTATCTAGTGCCTTTTGAGTTGCCTCCAAGAATACTCTTTGTTTAAAATACCTTCCTGCCTTTTTTTTTGTTGTTGATTGGTTGGTTGGTTGGTTTATTTTATTTTATTTTTTTATAGTTATATTTTGTAGCACATTAAGAGCTAGGGACCCAGAATTAATTTCCCTGTGTAACCTTCTAACTATGTGCTACGTCATGGCATTTCAGGTTTCTTTTTAACATATAAATTGCAGTCCACTTAGTAAATAAAATGGATTACTTATGGTAACTGTTACTTATGGTAAATGTGACTAGTCAGACAACCTAAATCCTTGCCAGAGCTATTCCAGAGGCTTTAAAAAATCCTATTAAAAGATTTTGTTTGCAGGTGGTACAGAGAGGATAAAAAAAACAACCAACAAAACAAACAAAGCACAGTCTGCAGAGCGTTCTATTGCTCCCTCTTTTGCCAAGGGCAGTTTACTTTTAAGACCACAGCTATAGGTGAAATTTGTCTCTGCTGTTTCTAAATAAAAGTAAATTTCTGAAGAATCTAGAGTTCTTGGAGGGAATTTAGGAACAGGAAGCATGAAGCCTTATGTATTTTCTGCAATTATCATTATGCTAATTATAACAACATAAATGTCACAATCATGTTCTAAATGTTAAGTCTGAATCGTGTGTTAGTGCTAAATGTAAACTGCCAGGATCAGAAGACAGGTTTTTTGAATGTGGGTAGTAGTGTGCACAAAATGACCTTTTAGCACCCTTCACTACTGATTATTGAGTAAAATCTAAAGAAGCTGGACTGTTCAGAGCTCACAGTAAATTTGCATAGTTTGAATTAAAATTATATTTGTCATATCTGTAAGTGGAACTTCCTTAATAAAATATTGCAAAAGTAACATGGAATTCCCTAATGCAAAGTCAGATGACTTAGAAAACTGTCTGTTTTTGAAGCATGATACATGCAGAATTTAATTTGTATTTACCCAGTTTGTAGCTTTCTAATAGTAGAAAAGTATTTGCTTTTTGCTTGTGTAATAACAAAAGCCAAAGTCATGAATATGAAAAAATCACCTTGCTTATATTATGTACATTACATGCTATTGCTTTTTTTAATTAAAAATCTGCAAAATCCATAGTAGAGATAAAAGCTCTTGATATTTCATCCAGCCATTTTGGTTTAATTGGGTACTGATGTTTGCTACCTGGTTAGCAAAATCCTGAAGATGCTTCAGAGTCTTGAGAGAAAAAAAATAAATCTGAATAGGTTACCCCCTTTGCTCTGTCCCTGGAGAGAACTATTTTGTATTCTTGCTGTATCAATCTCCTTTTCTTCCTCAAGGATTAAAAATATGTGCATTTTTAGGGTCTCAGGAGTCATATCTGAAGACTTAGTATTTGGGAGCCAGTTGAAAAAGCTCATCTATAATCAATGTTTTTTTTTGTAATAAACAAATTCTGATATGCTTAAATTTGTACTACATCTAATGCTTATTCTTTTCCTGAAGCCTTTTTGCCTAGATGACTCTTTTTAACAGACTTCAATTATCTTAGCAATGTATACACACTTGAGAACTTTTACCTCACGAGCAGCAAACTATTTGAATTGCTTACAACTATCTCTTTATACTTTGCAGTAGAGCCTCCATCTTCGAGTATTTCAACCTTTAAGTACACAACTTCCCTTTCTGGCACCATCGCAATATAGGCTAGGGATTTCTTCACTGAGATGTTAAGCTCAGCTGCTTTGTGGCAGGTAGAGAACTGTTCCTTAAAGAGCAATTTATTACCTCCTTTCTACATGCACTGTAATTGTTAAACCTGCCAATAGTGTTTGAAAACTTAGGGGCTTTTGGAAAGTTTAACATTTTATGCTTCTTGGAAATCAGATTACTGAAAGGTAGCTGTGGAAGACTGAAATAAGAGATATCGTCAATTTCATGCCGTTAATTTCTGTTTTATGTTAATAAAAAGTCAAGTGAAAATAACCTGGTTTGTGGATAAATATTTGTAAATTCCTAGATAAATTACCTGTTTTCTGGATAAATAATATTTGTTGATCTAGCTTCCTGTGGAAGCACTTCTTTTGAAGTCTTACATGAGCCTTACTCTTTAAATCTTTTGACCAAGCTGCTTCAGCTACCTCAGAGCTTAAGGGTGGCTCTTGCAGTATGTTAATGCCTTGTAGAATAATTTTCTGCCTTTTTCTATTGTGAACAGACAATTAAAGTGTTGTTAACCTCATCTCTCTCTTCTCACACAAGAGCTCCAAGCGAGAGTGGAAGCCTCTGGAGGACCACAGCTGCACAGATGTACCATGGCTGCTCTTATTCATCCTCTTCTGCATAGGAATGGTGAGTAAAACTGAGATAATTCTGTAAATGCTATATAGTTAAAGAGTTTCCATTCAGAAGAAAGGAATTTTCAAACCCTTCAGTAACTTAATCACTGGGAAAAGTCAAGGTATATTTGCATGAGAACCACTGGCTGTAGAACAGAAATGGGTAGTATGTCCTTGGTAGGGATCCATAATTTATTGTTTGTGCCAATTCTTTCTTCAGCTCCTCTTCCCCTCCAGTTTCATTGGTAAGTGATTTACATCATGAAGATGTATCACTTGAGTCATGTTTCTTTTGGGGCTAGATGTCCCAGAAGTGATAGCTTCGAGTCTGGTAAACAGTTCTGTGAATGACAGTAAACTTTCTGTGAGAAACAAAGATCCTGAATATCAAAGAGTTGACTGCTTTTTGGGGGGTTGGTTTGTTTGGGTTTTTTGGTTTGTTTGTTTTTTATCGCCTTTTTTTTCTTGGATACTTAGTAGAAGCAGCTACTGTTAACAGCCGTATTATTAGTGGTAAAACCTTACTTTCAAAATTATACCAGCTCTGTCCTGTGTGAGGAAGCCATCACCTTTTTAAAGTCAGCCTCACAACACTCTAGACTTTATGTTAAAAGAACAGACCTCCAAGAGCTGCAGATTAGTGGAAACTAGCAATACACTTCTTTTCATCTTGTTTTGCTTCATGCCATTCTTCTTAAACAGAGAATGTCTGTTGCTGTCTTGTACCGCTGTGTTACAAGCAGTAGTCCTTAGGGGTTTGGGACTTAGATGCTGTCAGCTTTCTTTTCTGCTGTCCCTTGGTCTCTGGTGTTTGGAATAATTCCACTGAAAAATTTCTTCTGCTTTCCCCAGGGTGTTTGTCAACGGCTGTGCTTCAAATGCAAACATTATAACGATTATTTAAAATCATATGAATTGCAGTGTCACCGTAATGTGGCTATCTTAAAATTACAAAAAGTACAGCACTTCCTGAAGCAAGTAGCTCTTTCTTTTGTGTTTGATTTTTTTCCTGGCTCTATTGATGTTTCCTGGTTGTTCATGCATACTTACCTGTTCCCCCAATAATAATTAGGTCTGCTATGCATGAGTGTCCCAAATTTTCCTGTCTAACCAATATGATATACAGAGCAATTATGGGTCACATACCTTGTTAGTTACTGTTCTAGGGGACTTCATTTGAAGGGTCAGGTGCCATGACAAGCCAGGAGGACATCACTGCACACTTGTAAATTAGCTTTGATAGAGGAAGGGTTGCATGATTTGCCTGTGTGTAAGGACAAAAATTCTTGAACTAGCCAAGAACCTGAGGACTATTATATGTAAAATGCATGCTAGTATGTCCTTTACAGAATAGTAGGGGATCTGAGAAATTAAAAGTGAGTGCTGGAAATTAGCTTGAATTATTATGACTAGTGAGCCTTTTGCTCACTTTGCCCTTGTTTTCAGTTTGAAATTTAGGTCTAAAAGTGCATTAGTGCATTGGCACTAAGGGAAACATTATGATTGGCTTGCTGTCTGGAACTGATAGCCTGTCCACTAGAGAAGGTCACTCTACTGTATCTTCACACCTTTAAAACCACACATTTTCACTGTTCCGTGCCGAGTTCATTACCTGTTGTCATCATCTCATCTGATCCTGCCACTGCCATCTGTTGCTTCACGCATTTGTCTCAGCTGCTCAAATCTTAGCTTGTCTCACATGTGAAAACAGGTTCACTGATGTAGTGGAGTGAGCTGATGGTTCATTTCTGCCTGTCAGTGGTGTTGTTAATGATGCTTTTGCACCAGTCTCCTGTTTGCACAATCACCATCTTGATCTTGGTTTTGCTTGTGAATTGTGTCTGAAAGTTCACAGCAAGACCTGCCTACATGTTGGTATTTTCCACATTACACTGTCTGAGCCATTTTGCTTTGTGTCTGTTTCTTTCCTGCATTTAAATCCAGCATATGGAACTGTAGTAGCCTTGATCTGGTCACTTGTTTTAAGAGGACTTCCTTAAAAGAAACTTGTGTTAGATAGGCCTCTTCATTCTAGCTCATCTTTGAAAGCAAGTAATTTGAAGGAAAGAAAAAAGTCTGAAAGCAAGAAAATCTGGATTGTGTGGAATTCTCTAAGATGCATAGTAATCCATGACAGCTCCAGCTCTGCTTGTAGCTAGCTCTCCTTCACTGCCTGCTCTTGGTCTCCCTTGTGCTTCATGCACAACTCACTGACAAAATGACTAACAAAAAAACCACCTACAAGAGTCTTAACTATGCTTGTATAATACCCAGTGTTGGATATCTCAATCCTCTTTTAGGTTACATTCAATTTTATTGTTGCACAACATCTCTCGGTGATGGTCCTTGTCTTTCCTTTTCCAGGCCAAAAGAATTTTTAGACAACTTCTACTTAGAAACAAATTAATAAAACTGACTTCTCCCAGCTGTCAAACAAAATATTGCTAAACTATGTTTGTTTGGGTTTTTTTCTCCTCTAGGGTTTTATTTGTGGCTATTCAATAGCTACAGGAGCAGCTGCAAGACTGCTTTCAGGATATGACAGTTATGGAAATATTTGTGGACAGAAAAATGTCAAGGTGGAGGGAATAGTCAACAGTGGTCTGGACCTTACACACAAGAAGTAAGTATGTGATTCAGTTGCTGCATTCTGTAAACCAGGAAAGGCAAAACCTTTCTTCCTTTGAGAGTGGTTTTCAATAAAATGGGAAAAGGGATATGCTAACTCATTCCTACTTGTCCTTTGGCACTTTTCTCACCTAGAGGACAACAATCTCTTGTAACAACCAGCAACAGTACTTGGAGAGTGTTTATTGACAGATATGCAATATGAGTATAGCTAAGACATTGAGGAATTACCTTTTCTTGGTATCCACTTCATGTAGGATATTTTATTAGGCCACTGAAGACTAGTTTGTTAGAGTTTTAGGTGTGACAAGTATTTTCAGATTTAGGAGCTGACCTTCGATATTAATTTAGAAAGGTTTGCTTTTGATGTTGTATGCTCAGTTTCTGCCACTAGGTGTAGGGGGAGATGAGATATATCTAACACATTAAACTGTAAGCAGAATATGTGTAAGTGACTTGTGGAGAAAATGCACAAAACTTGTAAGCAGCTCACAGCTCTTATTAAGCAGTATCATGTTAAAACCCTTACTTACAGTTCAGGTATTTCCTATCTGTTGTACAGAAAAACATCCCACTGCAGTAGTAGTACTGGAGAAGTAACAAAAATTCTGGACTTACAGGTTTAAAACATCTGTTGAGGTCTGTCTGCCAGTCAGTGCCCAGAGTGCATCTGTACAACTTGGGTGACTTAAGAAAGTAAACTGTTTAGCCTGACCATTGAACAGTGGTATTAACAAACAACAAAAAAAAAAAAAGAGAAAGATGTTTCTATCACTGTTTGATTCCTTCAAAGAATTAAAAAGTTATTCATTTCTGAGTATGATAACCTTTTGCTTCACGCTTTCAGACTAACAGAAAATAGATGATTTGCATAAAATATTTTGGAGGGATGCTTTCCTAAGATCTGCTTATTTGGAGTTGCTATACTAAAAACTTCTAAATACCTGATTTGAGATTTAACGTGGCTGGGTAATTGGTGGTTACCAGAAGGACTTGACATAAATAAAATGGCCTGAAATATTGTACAGATTTCTTCTGTCGAAAAACCCCCTACTTCTTAATCTAATCCCATCTTCCAGGAGGGTTGAAAAGCTTAAAATTCATGAAGCATAGTTTTCCTATTTTTTTACATAAACATTTTAATGGTTTCCAAATCCCTGTATATTCGATACAAAATTGTCATTCTGGCATTCTGAGATAAAATGCAAATTTTAAAATCATAATTTTAAACTTACCTTTAGAAAAAAATGGTGTCTGAGTTTGTGTGAAGGTAGAGAAATTTAGACACCTTATTGAAATGTAATAATTACTATTGTAATAGACTGCTACACGTGACAGAAATCACGCCATCATGTGGAGAAACATCTACCACTGCTTAGTGATTTCCTCTTGTAAAGGCAAGCTCAAAAGACAGCAAATAAGAGACTATTTTTAACACAGTTAATAGACAGCCTGTTGTTTATTAAGAAGTCTTAATGAGGTTCAGAAGGATTATGTTTTTGTAACAAAGATGTTGTGGCTTGAGGCATGACCTAAGCAAATTAACAGATACACTTAAAAGGAATATCATCATCTCTATTTGCCTGAGAGTAAGAGAAAACCTTCTACCAAGGCAGATTGACTGTTCACATGAAGTGCCTGGTACAGTCCAGGGTAGCCAGTTTTGGAAGAGATTGGTTCTTATATAAGCGAGTGATCCTTCATTCTCCCAACCCTATAGTTTCTTCTGAAAAATTGCCAAGCAAATTTAAACAGCTATCTGCTTTGCATCTGTCTCTAGCAGATGGAGTTTCTCCAGTGTCTGAGGTACAGTTCATGGGAGTATTTCATGCTATTTTTATAAGAGTACTTTTCAGGCAGACTGTAAAAATAAGCTTTTCTTCCTGCCTGTACATTTCAGTTTGTCTAGAGAAAGAGGACTTTTAGGATCCACAAATGCTTTTCTGGAAACATGAAGTTATTTCATTTTGCTGGCAGGGTAATTCTGTTTTCGTTTCCCAATCCAAAGGCAGAAAAGCTAAATCATCTGTAAAAATAACATTTTCTTCTTTGTACGTGACAGCAACCCGTAGGCACTGTCATGTGGAAATGAAATGAATGTGGCCTGTGTGGATATGGAAATCTGGGTGGTAAGGGTGAAGAGGACAGTCCTCACAGGGATATGATTTGCTCTGTGTACATCAGATATGCTGAAACCACTGAGATGAAATGTTGGGAAGGAGGGTTCTACAATTCAGTCTCATCAACAAAGAGTGGATCAGGCATCTTTTTATTTTTACCACAGAAACCACAGTACACTTTAATAATCTGTGCTCTAGAGTCAGACATGGGATTACACTCTAGCCCTGGCAGTGAATTCTAATTAAACCTATCTGCTTCAAGTAAACTCCTTGCTTTACAAGTTCTGGTAGTTATAAGGGGGTTAAAAAAAATTATGTTTTATTTGCAAATAAATGATGACCATGGCAGACAAATATAAGTCCCTGAAATGCTAGTTCAGTCTGATTTTTTGATGACCAATGCTGCTTGGACAGAACTCAGTTTTTGCTGTTTACTCCAGTATAAGGAGATGTGCATATGCTGCTATAGGGAATATAGCATTCCACCTTAACAAATGCCCTTGACCCCAGAAAATGGGGTTTAGGTAAGGGGAAAACCCAGGGAGAGCTTGCAAGCAAGCATGCAGAGAATTTGGTTGAGTGAAACTGCATGTACCCTACAGTTAAAGACATTTTTGACAGTAGGCTCTCATCTTCATTCGATAGATTTATTGGCACAGATCAATTATGATATTTGGTATCTTGATCTATCTGCCTTGAAAAAGGGAACCTGAACAAAGAACAACCTGGGCAATTATTCCCTTTCAATCCAAACTCCCCATCCCTCACATGACAGTCCATACCAATAGCAGTGTTCTGTAGTCCACATTGTAGTATGGTTGTTACGGTTCATATACCATGCTCTATGGGCTGTACACTCTAGCTGTTAATTTTTAGGCAATATTTAAGATGCTTGTTCTAAGTATTGTTGATGTTCAGATTATTAGCTCCAGGTTTCACCTTATTGCTCTCTACAGCTACTGAAAGGAAGTTGTGGAAAGGGTGGGATCAGTCTCTTCTCCCATGTAGCAGTTGAGAGGAGGTTTAGATTGGACACTATGAAAAATTTCTCTATCAAAAAGGGTTATCAAGCCCAGGGAAGTGGTTGAGTCACCATTCCTGGAGGTATTTAAAAGACGTGTCGAAGTAGTGCTTAGGGACACGGTTTAGTCACGGACTTGGCAGTGTTGGGTTTACTGCTGGAGTAGGTGATCTGAATGGTATTTTCTAACCTAAAAGATTCTGTCATTCTAAATCTACCCTCTTGCAGTTTAAAGCTGTTCCCCCTTGTCCTTTCACTATTTGTCTATGCGAAAAGTAACTTTCCCTCTTTTTCATAAGCCCCCTTTGAGTACTGGAAAGCTGCTACAAGGCCTTCCCACAGCCTTCTCTTCTCCAGGCTGAACAGCTCCAACTCTCTTAGCCTGTCTTCATATGCTCCAGCCCTCTCATCATTTTTGTGGGCCTCCTTTGTGCTTGCTGTGATGGGCTCATGTCTTTCCTGTGCTGGGGGTCCCAGAGCTGGGTGCAGTGTGCTGGGTGGGGGACCCACGAGAACAGAGTAAAAGGGGAAAATTCATCCCCTTTGCCCTGCTGGTCATGCTTCTTTTTACAAAGCCCAGGATACAGTTGGGTTTCTGGGCTGCAGGTATACATTGCAGGGTCACGTCCAATTTTTCATGCACCAGTACCCCCAAGTCCTTCTCTGCAGAGCTGATACTACATAAAGATGCATAAAGACACTTAATGTTCTAAGTCTACCGTACTGATTTTCATACAGTAAACATATTTGCATTTGCAGTGTTGAAGCATCTCTAACAGTATGATTGCCTTGTTTACTTCAGTCTTTGTGTTGCTGATATGTTATTTTGTTATCAACAAATTAGTCTATTGTTGATTGTAAATAACTGAAATTGCAGCACAAAGCATGTAAGTACATTCTTCTAGGAAGAAACAAAACCTGGTCTGTGATGACACAGTATGGAATTTTCTGCAGTAAAATCACTTATTTTCTATAAGTAAGCTTTATAAACAAAAATAAAATTAACCTTTTCTTCTGTAGTGCTGGTGCCTGGCATTTTGATTCTTGTTTTAACTGCTAGAAATTTAAAAAAAAAAATCTTACTTCTGTCTTCCTAGACTACGGATTGAAGCCACAGATTTGATAGCTTGGAATTTTCTGTGCAACTGCCTTAACTTCTGTCAGAACTGCCTCTGCCACTGCAGTGCAGTGTTTGAATTACATGTGGTCTATTTAAGTGTATGCCAGCACAGCACACTTGTGTCAAAACTGCTTGTGACACTGTAGTTGAGTTGTATTTCTAAACTTCCAGACTTAAGTTAAAATGGTAGTATTTCACAAAATATTCTGGCAATTAAAATTACAACTTGGCCCTGGAATTTAAATTACTGTAGAAGTGGGCTGAGTTCTGTCTTGTCAGTGGCAACATTCCTCATCTGGTTTCTGTAGGTAATATGTGTTACAGGACATTCAAAGAAGCCTTCTGTCCAGGAACTGGAGTCCAGCCCTATATATCCTTGTCTCTGCCTAGGCTGAGGGATGGGGGTGGACTGACACATATGGGACACTCATGCAGCTGGTTACACAGAGTGGTACTGACAAAGTGCTGCCTTCAACAGCGGGACTCACAAACAGAAGCACAGACAGCCACGTCCTCTCCTCCTCATGGGCTCACAGAGACAGAAGGTCACTAGTGCAGGCACAAATATGACACTTTCCGGGTTCACAAGCTCACATACATTTTTGGATCTCTCAAGTACCAGCACAGCACCTCTGCTCACCTGGCACCCCTGCCCCGTATCTGTCTCTTGAGTTCCTCCTACTCAGCAGCTGATCCAGCTTGTTGCTAGTGAGCAAACACACACGCTCGTCCCACAGGCACCCTGTGCTCACAGTTCTCTCAAATACCAGTGCAGACCCTCTGCCTACCTGACACCTCTGCCTGGACCCAGAGCCTCCTACGCACCATCTGATGAAGCTTGGAGTTTGCTGGGGAGTTACAACAGGAGTTGAACTCAATTATCCTTGTGGGTTCCTTCCAACTCGGGATTTTCTGTGATTCTGTAACGTGCGTACACCTCCTTTGGCTCAGCCCCTGTCAACAGCCAGCACCATGTGGGCTGTGACCACTTATGCTCAGTCCTTCACCTCTGTAGCTTCTTTTTTTGGTGGATGCACATTGTTCCCACCCCAGCAGCCCATTGCCAAGACCCCTCTCTGCCTCAGTCACTGGCACTGAGACCCCACTCACTTCTGTAGCTGACACCATAAGCCTGGGGCCCATAAACCCCTGGTCTGATTCTAGTTGCTGGCACCAAATCCTTCATGCCCATGCCAGTCTCCCCAGTAGCTGGCACTTAATCCCTGCAGGACTTGCAGCATCCATACACATGGAACAGAGACTGGAACTATGCAGAGAGAGAGTTAAAGGATTTAGTAATAGGATATGACAGACTGCAGTGATCAGGTGTTGGGGTCAGTCAGACAGTGTACTGACCAACACCAGCTTGTATGCAACTGTCCCTTTTACACCCCCTTCTGTCTGCCACCCTGTCCCATGCACTCTTCCTCAGCATCTCGCACAGTCCCACTGACCATTCCTACATTCTGTATCTGTGGGTTTGCATCCTTTTCAGCCACACAGTCCCTGCCTGCAGTTTCTTGATAGCCCATCAGTTATTGTGATTGACTGGGTTTGTTTCTGATTATTAGTATAATAACCTGATTACTATATTCTGATTCTGAATATTAATATAATATTAATATTGATATAATATTAATATAATATAATATTAAGTGGCTAAGTTTTATGTCTGAGTGTCTCCCTCCTTTTCCTTATTATCTTAGTTTGTCAAGGTGCTTAGCCAGATAGTCTTATGGAAAGTTAATAATTTTCAAAATCCAACATATCCTTACCAATTAATGTGATTGACTGGGTTTATTCCCATCCTAACCTGCCTTACCACATCAGTCAGGTTTTACTCTGTAAGTTCTTGTTTGTAGCTTCTTTGACCAAATAACCTCAAATGAGCAGACACTCTTCTTCCATGTTCCCTTATACTATAGAATAGCAACTGCAGAAACTTGCCCTCATGAAGTGGAAGCTTTGACAGGAGTGTTCAGTTAAGACAACTATTGAACGTCTTGGTATTAACTCAAGAGTATTTTCTTTGAAATAAAGGAAAACGGCTCACATACAGTTACTTTGTGTCTACAGGACAGAATTTTCCTGTTTGCATTTGCTTCTCAGACAATGGTCTATGGATTCCTGAGATCGGTAGTGTGTATTAAGTAAAAAAAACAGAAATAGCAGCGGATGATTTTCACTGATATGTGGACAAGGAAAGGGAATGTTTTAACAATGCAGGTAATTACCACATTACAGTTGATTTAGATTACATGGGGTTTGATGGACTTTCAGGAAGTAAGACTGTACTACATACTTATCATTCTTGTATACTGACACTGGGTAATAGAACAGTAGACAGCAATTAGTGTACAGACTGAAGTTGTTCAGGCAGGACCTAAATGCTTTCTAGGAATAGAAGGGATTTTACTGATTACAGAATGAATTCCCATCCTGAGGACTGCAAAAATAGAAATGGCATTTTATATGGTGGTTTGGTATTGATTTCCTATGATGATGTTAGAAAATATGTAGAGAGTATTTCAATGTATAGTGTATCACCAGAATTGTAGGAATTTGAAAGGCTTGTTCTACTTCCAAAGAGAAAAGCATTCTTCATCTGTATTATACCATCAGTGGGCAATTCTGTAGGTTTAGGGTTTGTGATGAAATGTGTATAGCCAGGAGATGTTAGCTAAGGATCTATAATATGTGCTTCAAATGGCAGTGACTCATCATGGAAAGTGAGAAAATAGAATCTCTTTAAAATACTGCACTTGAACATGAGATAGTTGTAATGAAATATCTGAACCATTTTTATTTCAAAGCAAATACTAAAGTAATCTGTTCAGTCATATGGTGTGGAAAATTGATCTAAACTAAAAAGCTGTTCTTGATTACTGGTATTATGTGTTTCCATTAAAACAGCCATGGACTTAGTCCTTTTGCAGCATAAGGGTAACTTTATGGGGTTTATTGGGTCTTTCTAGAAAAATTTAGAAATTTTGAAGTCAAGTTTAAGGTTGGAGTGAAGGTTTGTGAATGTTTGGGCTCATATTTATGAAACGGCATGGTAGGAGTGTTGCTGTTTTTAGGAATAGCACCATTTGAATGGACTTGAATCAGGTAGAGTTAAACATCCTTTCTGTGTTATCCAGAGGTATATAAATACCCATATACTTGTGGTGCATATGTTGAGTACATAAATTCTTTTGATCCACTCAGTTATGATAATATGAAATTTACTGTGTTTCTGGGTAGACTGAATAAGTCAGTTTTGACTGAATCCTATAATTTGAAATTTTGCTTAGTGTAATTGTTAATTCAAATAGAAATAATTTACCTTTTTTCCTTCCCTAGGTATGTATTCTTCTTGGATCCATGCAATATCGATATAGTACATCAGAAAATCAAGTCTCTTGCTTTGTGTGTATCAGCTTGCCCAAGGAAAGAACTAAAAACTCTGGCTGATATTCAGAAATTTGCAGAAACTAATGGTATGGAAAAAATATGTTTGCTTATGTTCATATACCAGATATTTTCACAGGATTAAAGAAAGACTCATGCATTAGCTGAGCTAAAAATGAAATATGTATGAAGAAATACGAATAGAAATAATGTGCTCTTTTCATTAAGCTAAAACATTACAAAATCTTACAGCATGCTAGTGTTCCGTCATGTCTTGGGCAGTATTGAAAGCTTGTTGTTAAAACAGGGGTAGGTACAAAGTGTAACAAGCACTTGAAGGAATGTCTCAGCTCCTAGGGAAATGTGCTGACATTGCTGCTCAACAGTAGTGCTGTTGAAATGTCCTCATGTATATGGGGTTAGTGAGAGCAGTGCTGCTATTTAATGGCGCTTGTGGCACAGAGAATGACTGTGTGTGTGTGAAAATATTCCTGCTTCTTTTCAGTCTTCTTTTCAGTGCTAGTGTGGTCCCTGTTAGTTTTTCTTTTTTTTTTTTTTTTAGTTTTCCCTAAGAGTAGTACTTTTTCTCCGCAGTAGTGACACTGATATTGCTAGCTCAGTTCCTGTTTTAACAGTCTGTGGAATAAAATGCATAGGAAGTAACCAACTTTTGGACATTCAAAAGAAAGTAAAGATAAAAACTTAATTTAAGGAAATTTCAGGGGTTTTCAGCTATTTAAGTGGGAACATTTTGTCCTAAACTTACCTTCTTATCTTTTAAAGTGCTGCAGTAAAATTTCTTTGCAAGGTGCTCGACTAAAGATGAGTCAGTCTGGGTGACCCAGTTCAAAGCGGTGAAACCGCTTGATTACTTTCCATGAAAGAAACCGAAATGTTTGTTTCTGTTCTAGTACAGGTTATTTGAGTACTTCTTGTTTGAAAGCAGGGCGAGTGGAAGCGTCCCTAGGGTCGCTGCTAATGCCCCTGGGCTCTCTCACTGCACTGTGCCCACACACCTGGGTATCTGACACTTGAACTATCACGCGGCGTTACAGCTTTCGTGGAGCTGCTCAAACAGCTGTGCCTGCACAGTGTGGCTGGTGAATGAGAGCCTCCTCATGTGGTCTGTGCAGCCTTGTCAATTACAAGGGAAACTACTCAGTATCTACGGCTGTATTCTTCACTCCTCCTCTGAGCATGCTGTGTTTCTTTTAACTAATGCAGGCCAGTTATTTGTTGGTATGAAGTTAAGGTCATTTGTAGTAGAGTTCGGGTATTTCTTGAAGTAATGAAGTGCAGCCATGTCTTGTTTTATCACCAACACTGTTTCCGTGTTTATAAATCAAGTCTCTTATTGGTTGTGCTTGAAATATGTTTAATGTAACTGTTTTATAAAGTACAATGAAAACCACTCTTCCCAAAACATGCTATGCTATGTCTTGTCCTCGTGATTCTTTCTTCTAACTGTATCTCTCTTAGTGCTTTAGATTTTAAGTGACCATTGACTCCAGTGTAAAAACGATAATGATGAAATCTGAAGACCTTGAACATGACTGCAAAGAGCTTAATTGCAATTTCCGTGTTTGTTCTATAGTTAGAATATAAAGTTCAGCTGTCAAACTCTGAAGAATGAGGGCAAGCTGTGGTTGGTCTTGTGATAATCAGTGCTGAATTCTACAGGCTCGCCAACTTCTAACGTTCAACAAGAAAACCATCGTAATGGTTTTTTAATATATGGGTAAAGGGTGCAGTCAACTCTTGGTTTTGCTCTTTTGAGCCTTTCTGAAAGCTTTAACGCTCCCTGCATCCTGAAAATAGCAATTGTGCTGGAGACAGAATCTGTGTAGGTTGTTGCATGTATTTTTGTACAGTTGGCCATTTTCACCTGGTTCATATGCCATCCCTGAAATCACCTTACTTGTCCATGTACCTTGAAGTTCTTTCATAAATTACTGCATAAGAGCCCTTCCACAACCCAGAGAAACCATCTGTTGCGACTCAGCCCATCAGGAGGTGGTGTGGTAAGTTAAAATGGAGGGGTTTTTTTAATCTAAACATCTTTATCAAGAGATGTAACATAGTAAAACGTACTACAACATCCTTGTATTGACTAATGATTTTATCAATACCACATATGATCTTGCAGCTAACTTAGCATTTATGGTGTCTTTCCTGAAGTGAGACAGGCACTTGATTGGCTCTACACGAAAGGACACAACTGCCAATCCCAAAGGTTCAGAGCAGTTATGGCAGAGCTCTTATTCATTGTGCTGTACAGCTTGTATTTTTCTGTAAGCAAGATTATAAATAAGCATTTAGGGCAGGGAAAATGCTTGCTTGAGGCATGAAGATCATTTTATGACAAAGCAGCCTTTAAGCTTTCTGAATCAGTAATGCACTTGCTCTTTTGCTATAATTTGAGAAAAGCAGCTGATTTTGTGAATAACACAGCACCATTTCAGGGCAGTAACTGCACTCCCACTCCTACCCTACTTGCTCTCTCACAGTCAGGCATTTGCTGTGCCTTCCTACCTAAGAAGAGAAGAAGCACATCCCTTACAAAGCCATGCTGATTTTAAGAAAACAAGGAAGTGTGTGTCTTTAATCTGTTCAGAACAATTGACATCCGGAACACTGGGAACCAGCTGAGACCTTTTACAAGAGGAGGAAAAAGGGAAAGAAGAAGAAAAGATCTTTGCCCTGTGCAAAGGTGCAAGTTGTAAAATACAGGGGTGCTCCTGGGAGTGACACAGAAAGGTGCAGTGTTATCTAAGAAACATTCTAATGCTGTTCTCAAACAGCTATACTAATACTTGAGCTTGTAGAGCTATGAATTGGACACAAAACTGAGAATGTTGTATGTTGTGAAGTGACTCCTGCTGCTCTCCCCAGGATTTTCTCACCCAGCAGAACACCTCAGGCAGGGAGTACTTGTGATTCAATGTTTTTGTCGGTCTTGGCACTTAAAAAATGTGTATTTTGAGGAGTGTGACTGAAAGCTGTTTTTCCCAGAAACCTGATTGATGCTTCAAAACTTAATGTCCGTGAAATATTGCGGTGGTGTTTTCAAGGACTTGCCAAAGCATTTTGAAATATCCTTGAAGATATAATTCATCTGTGACTGTGCCAAATGAATAATGAAATTTCATTATTAAAAAGAAACACTAGAAGGTGGCCATAATTTCTGTTGTGTTTAATTCAGTGATAACTATACTGTCTGTTCAGTGTATTCCTATCTGTTATGTAAATATCTGGATGCATACTTAGGAACCTAAAATGAAATCTCTCTTTTACAGAATGTTAGCAGGCATCTCTCTTGTCTGAGATCTGTAGCTAGACCAGACTAGTTATGGTCTGGGTGGACTTAGAGCCAGAGATGAAGCTACATTAAGTTTGCTACAGAGACTGACCTGAAAGAAACCAATAAAGGAAATCAGTCTGGTTAGGTCAGAGCAGGTAATCTCTCTGAGCTATTAGGAGGAACCACAGGGAAAACAAAAAGGATTTTTCTTTTATCTGAAGATAATGACATCTTCATGTGCAGTAGTCAAAATATATCTTTGCAGTTCCCTTCCCCCCGCCTTTGTTTTCACTGAAAGTATTCTATTTAAAACTTAATCCTTTGCTCATGATTTTCCTGAAGCATGTTGTACCATGTTAGTTAGAGGCATCTTATGGTTAAAGCAATTCTGTACCCGCAGGTCTTTGGGAGCCTGGGTGTGTTGGTGTCGAATGTCATTTTTTTATTGACTTGAGTAAAAGTACATTATGACCAGTTTGAGATAGTCATCCACCTCTATTCTACCTTGTTACCAGAACTGTCCATCAGGGTTGCCTTGTGTTGGAAATGGATCCTCTAGTTAGAATGAAGTTGTTTCCTCAATAGAAAGTGATTGCCTGTAGAGTCCTCCAGTAATACTGTGTTGTGTTATTCATTACATTAATAAACCATTTGGAAAGGGGAAGAAACACTGAGGTAATAAATCTTGTTGTGACTGCTTAATTATTAAGAATTACATGGAAAAAACCCTGCTATCAATTGTAGTGGAATAAGGTGTCAAATCAAAAGGAGTTCCCCCAGAATGAAGGGGTGGGAAACAACCATCGTTATGCTTACAGTGTTTTAATTTAAAATGGCTGTTTGTACTTGGGAAAGAGATTGTGAAGCTACCGAGGATCACAAGAGGATTAGGTGGAGGCACAGCATTGTCCAAAAGTGTAATGTTTATTAATTGTGAAGAGGGACTGTGTTTTGTGTAAACTCATGCTCTGTTGGCATCATAAAGCCTGTGTTCTGGTCCTTCCTTGACAATTTTTTTTTAAAACTTATGCACAAACACACGTATTTGTATATTCCCAGTATGTATACACATACTGTATGTGTACACAAGGGTAACAAGGATTATCATAATAAAAGACCAGTGATTCTTCTGCCTGGAAAAGAGAAAACTATCAGGAACAATAAGGTCATTGAAAGCAGGAATAGCTTAAAAGAAGGTTAAAAAATTATTGTTCTGTGATCTCATAACCTGACTATTGTGAAAATAGAGGTCAAAAATGAAGTCACTAATCATGGAAGAGCCAGATTTTTCTCCACACAAGTTGGTTGATTTACAAAACTTCTTACCATGAGGATATTTTAGATACAGAAAGATAAACTCTTAGAATAGTACTGTTTGGATATTTAGTAGCAGGTTAGTACTCAAGAATGTCCTTGACCTCTAAGTGGTGCAGAGCTAAAGATACAGTAGGAGAAACATCTGCTACTTGACTAGATGGATTTTAATTTGATTCCAGAGTAGCTGGTTTTATTTAGCACTGGAAGAAATATGGGTGGAGGAATTTGTTAATACAAATGGGGAAAAGTGAAGACTATTGTCTTGGTTTTTTAATTAAAATTGAAAAGACACATGCAAATTCTGAATCTAGGAGCTTTTTTTTTTGGTTGTGTGGTGGGTTTTTTTGGGGTTTTTTTGTTGGTTTTTTTTTTCTTACATACTGTTAGTTGTAAGAGCAACTGTGCTTAGCCATCACAGTTGTTCTCTTTGTGGTCTGCAATTCTAAAGACATTTGAGGATCTAACTAGAGG